AAATCTAAACTGTGGCCAGGCCGCTTCTTTCGCCCGGCCACGGCCGCAGCTTGGAGTGGCGTTCGGCCCGAGGGATCCTGGAGGGACCCTTGGGGGGGTAAGGGGGTAGGGGACTATACTAGTAAGTATGGTTATAAGTACCTTAATTGGGGTTATAAGCAATTATAAGTATAGTTACCTTAATTATAACCGTAGTTACTAAGTCCCATGATCCTCTAAGTATACTACAAGGGTATTAAAGGGTTCCTGTAAAGGGTTTCTTTCAAAGAAGGGATGGTTCCTCTAAAAAGGCTATCACTGAATCACAGACTATTCTCGATACCACAAGGAGGGATCAGGGCTTACCTACTCCGCCGCTGCGAAACCTTAATGCTTTGCCCCACCCGAACAGCGCCAAAGCTCAATCCTCCTCCGAGGTCGTAGATGTGCCGAGGGAGAGCAGCTGCTCGAGGATGCTCACCTTCGGAAAATCTGAAAATTGTTTGAAGGAGCTGGAGGTCTGAATAGGGGTATTTTATACTGCAAATATAAGGAACCCAGCAATAGTATAAGTACTTAGTTAGGCCCCTATAGTAAGAGATGACTACAAGGGTTACTTTAGTGTTACTACAGTCTGAGGGTTCTTATCTCCCGGGTTCTCTAGGGTTCAGCGAGTCTAGCTTTTCGTTTTTGGGCCTGGGCATTAGGATCTTATCGTTTTTTTGGGGATCTTATGGCTTTGGTCTTGTGGGCTTTTGGCTGTGAAATTGCGGGGCAAAGCCTAAGATGCCTCTGCCCTCAGATTGAACTTTTACCCATCTTCGTGTTTCGAGAGTGATGCTGTTGTGGGGATCCATCCAACAGGGACCCTAGTCTAGAACCCCCCCCCCGATATAGAGGTCTCTTCAGCATCAGCTGCAAGTCTTCAACTTTGCAGGCGAAGCCCACCTAGACTACACTTCCTTGCACACAAGGTGATCAAGTTTTAAGTTTAAGCAGCCATGAAGAATGGCCCCAAGCATCAAGTGCAGACAGATCAACTGCAGACAGAAAGCTTGAGGCCACAAAGCCAATCCGGAACACCGCAACCCCCTCGTAACTGAAGCCAAGCAAACTACCCATTGGTGAACACAGCTTTCGCGAGTTCTCCGGCTATTGCCTACGTCGTGGCTCTACACGTCGCAGCCCTAGCTTTACCGTTTTTCCGAAACCCTGCAACCGTTGAACCCCAAAACCCTGAACCCTACTAAGTGAGTCCTAAGCCCCGGCACCTGGCCATGTTGCGCCGCCCAGGCCAAGGCAAATCGCGATTTCTGCGGCGGTCAGAGTTTGATATCTCGTTTTTGCTCTTTGAGTTTGTCAGGGTTTCAAAGCTTCAGGGGGGCCTTTAGGGTTTCAGAAGATTGCTCTCCGTGATAGTTCCGTTAAGTGTACCTGTTTGAATGAGCATTTGCCAGGATGAGGATAGTTCTGGTGCAAATGCTGTCTGCACGTGTGGTCTTCTGGCTGTCTGCAAAAGTTGCCTTGCGCTGCCCTTGGACGCTATTTGCATCTTGTCCCTTCGAGCGTCTCAGGGTTTGGGCTTCGGGTTCGGGCTTAGAGGTTTGGGGTGCGCGGTCCGGCCTGGTGCTTACGGTTCACGGCTGCTAACTAAGGCGGAAACCTCAGGGTGTTGAGATATACGACTATCCGGATTTCGGACTTTCGGACTCGTAGGATCTGAAGACTCCCCACCCAGAGCCTCCAAAACCCCTTAATTAAGGAATATACCTTAAATCATAATAGGATCCCTAATATAGTTGAAGGTATATTCCTTAATTAAGGGGTTTTGGAGGCTCTGGGCAACCCCAAACCCCAAAACCCTGAACACTTAAAGGGAACTCCAGAAAGTTGGAATATGGATTAATGGTAGGATCCCCTATCATTTACCTTAAAGGGGTTACGATAATGATGCTCCTACTTTCTGGCTCCTACTGTAATTGCTAGAATAAGGTTTTGGGGGATATGATACAACAAATCCAAAAAGAAGCCCGCAAGCCCTATTCTAATGATTAAAGCCCCGACATTAATCCGTGGGAACCCCCAAACAACTGAATCTCTGAACCTAAACTCTCGTTTTCCACCTTGATGATCGGGGCATCCAGACTCATGTCAACGATAATGTTACGGCTGTCTTCATAGTACATCTACACACGGCTACTAAGCATTCAGAACCTTATCTTGCTTCCGAGCGGAGCCTGTGCCATCTTTTCCACCTGCATGGCTGCAATCTAGGACCGGTAGGGGCATGGTAGTTAGGGGTCTTTACAATATGGATTGTCCAATTGAGGATCTAAATCGGAATCCCCGAATTCCTGGTACCGGAACTGGTTGGCTTCTGAATTTAATGTCTTGGTTTTGGGTTACTTCGCTTGGATGGCCTCCCCGGATTCAAAGTCCGAGAACCCGAAATCCACAGCACGCTGTGGTGCAGTGTAGACCCCTAAACATCCCTAAACAAAATCCCTAAACGCTGTTCGCATAAGGACTATGATTGACTATAACAAGCGGATCAGACAATTCAAGGGGGTGGAACCTATACCATAAATCCGAAATCCTGAACGCTACACTCACTAGATCCTAAACATCTCATCGATTCATCCATGAACTTGGTAAGTAGGTTGCTTGGGGCTTCCTACTTTCTGAAACTCGCAAGTTGCTGAAGTGAAACCGCGAAGCCCCGGGGCCATGCAAACCCCGGCCCCTGAGAGGAGGTCAGTGCTGTCTGCTTTACGTCCCCAGGCCACCACAGAGCCACCACCCTATAGTACCCCATAAATGGGCCCGAAGTCCTTTAGACCCTTAACCCTTAACCCCCAAACCCCGAAAAGGGCCCGAACTCTGGACCCGACATTCGAGATAGATCTGCCCAGAATGAGCGCCTTCACTCCGAGTGGGTCCAAGGGCAGAGCGACCGCAGGAAGTTCCAGGGCTACCTTCACTGGCGCGCACTTCCCTAAGCTTACCTTTAGTTCGTAGGGATGGGGAAGTGGGGTACAATTATGACTACCATTACTACCATTCTTCCATTCCCTACTACCTTCACTGACGCACTTGGGCGTTCAAACATCCAAGGCTATTGTATTGGGACCGTCTAGAAGATCTAGAAGCCCCAGAGAAGCCTAGAGAGAACCCTAAAACTCCAATATGCTAAAGATTAAGGCTTAAGGAAGATACCTTGAATTATAGTAGGATCCCTAATATGACTTAAGGAGTATCCTTAAATTATAGTAGGATCCCTGATATGACTTAAGGAGTATTCCGTCATTAAGGGAGATTGGAGTTTCTGGGTTGGGCTTTCAAACATTCCAGGGCTCAGGTTCTGGGATTCGGGATGCTACGGTTGATGATATAAATCCTGCATGACCTTAAGGACCCTAAACTATGGGAATTATGGTATATTCCTTATTATGGGCCATGCAGGATTTATATCATCAGCCGTAGTTTTAAGGCCTCAAGCTAGGAGAATACATTCATCATGTGTCTACATCATCCACAATGCTCCTTCTGCAAGCTCTTCCAAGTACTCGCGCATCATGTTCATGCTTCTAGCCAAGACCGCTGAAAACAGGGGACGCACTCGGGCAATCGATCGCATTGATTGGGGGATAGGGATATCATGCTCGTAGGAAAGTCCGATTACAACCACGTACGGCCCGGCACTATACCCGGTTGCACACCCGATACAGAAACGATCCAAAAGCCCTGTAAGCATCCACCCCTTTCAGTAAACCATGCCTAGGTATAAAGGAAACGAAGACAACCCGAACACCGGCTAATAGAATCCATATACACAGTGCAATATATATGTAAACATGCATGCATGCATGCGTGCAACGACACATCGTAACATGGAGCCCAAGCGCAATGAAGTTCCAATGACCCCCTGTCTACTAACTTATTCAAACATCCTTTGCTAACCCTGCAGGACCCCAGAAGAACAAGATAAAGGCCCCAATCAATTCCGATCCCTTTGCAAGTTGACCGACGCGGACCCCGAGAACGAAGCACCCTCTTTAGTAAAGCCCCGCAAAATTGCCTCGTCGCCCCAGTCGCCGAGGTAGCTGGGCTCGAAGAGCTCCGGCTCAACGACCTGGCTTGGAGACCCCCAGAAACGTCATCTGGGCTCCAAGCTGCAACTTCATTCGCCTATCCGCGGCCGGGTACCTTCTCGTCTGCGGGCGACGCGAAGCTGAGAAGTTGGTGACAGAGCTTGTAACCTGCTCTCTACTTGAAGGCTGCGCCGCTGAATGTCTTTCGGATTATGGAGATCGGGGAGAACAACATACCTTAGAGGATCATGGGACTTAGTAACTAGGGTTATAAGTAAGGTAACTATACTTAACACCGCCAATTAAGGTACTTATAACCTCACTTACGAAGTCCCACGATCCTTTAAGAACAGTATCGACAAGTCGTTATCTGCCTTTTGGGGATGTCTCAACCCAGGAAAATATCGGTCTAAGCAATTGGATTGAAGCTTGGCATTATGCTGCAAGACTAGCTTTGCAAGCATTTTCGAAGAGCCATATTCTGAGTCACTGCGCTTTCTATACCGTAAAAAGGGCATTCTAGGGATTGTGCAGTAGAGCACGGGATCCAGTTTGTGAGCCTGGCTGCGAAGTCCTATCAGAGTCCCGAGAGCTGGGTGGCCATACAATGGGATTGCTGGTGAAGCTTTTAACATCAGGAGCACTCGTATGGACCCTATCGGGATCCTCCTATGCGGGAAATAGCATTCCTTACTAGTCTCTATGTCAATGTATATAAAAATAGATAGTAAAATGAATAAATAAATAAATAAATAAATAAACACACACACAGATATATATCTATATATATATATATATACATATAGACAAATGTGTGTATGTATATGAATACCACAGTATATTGGTACCATAACAACATGTCACAAGATCTTGTTCTGGTTAAGACCCCTCTCATCATGTTCCAGCTTGTAACGCCCTATGTTACCGTGGCTAAGGCCAGGAATTTGGGGTCAGATGGCGTTTCAGCTGCATGGCCAGGTCGAGCCAAGTTCCTCATGGGACATTCGTGTGTGCGTGTGTCATTTTGTCTGTGTGTGTGTTGGGTTATGGCTTTACGGTTTAGGGTTTAAGAAGGGTTCATGAAAACTTGATGGGGTTTTCAGGATTTGGAAAGGTTGATAACTAGGGCTTTACGGAAGCTTTCAAATTCTTATAAGGGCTTATAGGCCTTTACGGATTTATCGGGATCTTCCTGGTTTTTGAAAGGGTCGGGTCTGCAAGGGGGCAAGCACAGATCCAAAACACAATAAAGTGTACGCTTTTACCGGTCATATGGAAGCACTAAATCATACAACTGGGCTTTGCAGTATCGCACTGTCCGACGACTGAAGCACATGCACCTAGGATAGGTTCGGAAACCGGCCGAGCTGAGGGCACAGGGAGTTACTTGAGCGCCAAAGACCCTGAGACGAAGATGTCCAATTCGGACTCCAGCGTCCCCAAGGCTTTTCAGCGCGGAACATAAGGAGTTAGGGTGAGCAAACCCCCAAATCCCACACTGCAAGGTCGTACATTAATGCCTTGCAAGCTTAATACTCTGGCCATACTCCCAGTAAGGGGAGTGCACCATTTTTGGAATTCCCATGACGGAACCGGCATGAGGAGACGTGGATCCTAGCTGTCCACGCCCCTGTCGAAGCAGGCCCCCGCTCCGATCGACCAAAGTTCAATCTTCGATGCAGATACTCTTCCCTTCCACTTCCTTACCGGCTTAGGGTTTAGGGTTCGCAGACTATACCGCAATTTGCCGTTGTAACTGTTTAGGTTCCTATGTCAGCTCAGCAAACCAATCACTGGTCCTCCTGGCAGCAGTGCACCTGAGCATCCAAAACCGTCAAGCATCCATAACATGCGCCTGGGGAGACGTGCTAGGGGCAAACCGCTACGGCGAAATTCAACCCAGGTTCATCCGCTGTACCAACAGCGATATCTTCGCAAGCCCCAAGATTCAAACTCCTTCTGCTTGGCAACGAATGTGGAACTCAGAGAGAGCAGGAAACCACCCCCTCTGCAGAGCATGGAAGCCTGCTCTGGGATGGAACGAGGATAGAGGCCAGACGCAGTCAGAGTCTCAGAGCTTCCAAAGGGGTGTATAGGATTGTATAGGGTTTCACCTCTACCGAAAGAGTAAGAGCCTGAAGCAGCATCATGCACCATGGTTTTGTGGTGACAGACCAATACGAGCGAGATGCAATTCACTCTCTGTCTTTCTCCCCGAGTCCAACAAGTACGAACTTGGACGAACAGGCGCCTTGGTAGATCCGAAGGCCTCAAGCCTTTAAGCACTACACCGCACACTTTGAATGAAACAAAACACCGGAATCATTGCAACGTGGTGGCCGTCAACTTCCAGCTCAACATCTGCAAGCAACGGCAGCCCTCGCCTCAGCATGACGACGAGGCCGCATAATGCTGGTTTCGGGCTGAAAAATTTCCGGGGGGGCTTAAGGCTTAAAGCTTCTCTTTCCATTCTCTTCAGGAAGCTCGGAGGCTGAGAAGGCAGCCAACAAAGGCTTCAGAACAAGCTTTAAGGAACGACCCGGAAAACGCTAAACCCGAAGCTTTTGCTCGGTCACCGCAAAACTTATCTGAGAAAACACAAGGTGCCTCCACTCTGAAGCCCCAGCGTTAACTCCACAGCAACGAAACCTTGGAGACCCGGACCAAAACCCTAAACCCTAGACCCTAAACCCTGAACCCTTAACCCTAAAAACCCCGAAGAACGCAACGAAGCTCTTGAAACTGGCAGTTGACGACTAGCAGCCGAACGAGCTGCAGCACTTCTTGTGGAGCTCCGAACCTGGCTCTCTCAAAACGCAGGCGCGGGGCTGTAGTCTTTGATCCATACGCTCCATGGTAATTTCTTTTTGGGGGATCATATGTAGCATCCTATAAGGCAATCACCAAAATGACCTTGGGGCGTATGGGTCGTCATGTAGGGAGTCTACGGCAAAAACGTTCAGGAGGGCTTCAGGTCCAGATTCGGAACGCCGGTTCCCGGCATTTCAATCCCAGGGTCCTCATTCTTCTAGGGATACTACTAAAGGGGCCTTAATATTTAGAATAGGGTTTTGGGGCCCATGAATTATACTATATTACTCGTATTTACTATTTAGGCCCCCCATATTAAGTGAGGAGCGAAAATTTCAAGAACCCCTCCAAATCTTGTCCAGGCGGCTGAATTGCCGTCGCAAGTCGGTGCAACAAGCGCTCTGCGTCAGCAAAGATCTCAGCATGGCGTTCCGAGGAACAAACTGAGACCTATGGGTTCAGGAGTGCACCTGAAATCACATGAAGGGTTAAAGCATGAACGCAAAACATGGACACAAGTATAATAAGCAAAGCAATTAAACGGAAACAGAAATGACGAAAGAGTCATACAATAAACGATCATACACAGAACGAACAAAAACAATGCGACTCAGCAGATTAATACACCAACAAACATGTAGGACCTATGCACCTAGTTGAGCAGATAAAAACCCAACATACATTTGCCGGCTCGCAGGGATTTGCTGCAGTTGATTACACAGAGAGTGCGCCTCAAAACGCAATGGAAGAACGGAAAAGCGCCTTCGGGGTGGTCGTTTGTTAACTGTAGCACACTGTGGGTGGCAAAGCTTTCAATCTCTTCACCACGCGTGGCATAAATATGGACCGGGGTCACAAAAGGGAAAAACTTCTAAACTCAAAGCTCTGCTTGCAGCTCGGAGTATGATGCTGCTCGTTCCTTTCCAGCTTGTACACGCCAAGCTCGGCAAGCTTAATTTGAGTCTTCGCAAGCCGGCGGAGCCGACTAGCTCTCGGGATAGCGATGTCAGTGCCCATACGGATATTACAGGCATATTATACCATAATGATAATCAGTAGCCCCCAAAATAGTATGGGTATTTATTCAGGCCCCTGTATTACGGAAATATACAACTTCTCTGAACGCGACATCCTGGATACTGCTCGCTGGAAGGCCGAAGCACATGCTGTCCCGGGAATCCTTATTTGAAAGATTTTGGCGACCATCTAATATGGGGGCCTGAATAGCTAAAATATGGTTTTTGGGGCCGATTATTACACTATAGTTATGTCAGGGAGCACCCCAAAAAAACTGGTAATTATTTAGGCCCCTAGAGTATGTCCAGAGGCACGGCCTTCCAATGCCAGCCTTCAAGGCACTCAACCCTGAGTGTACGGGAATGGATCGCAATGTGAAAGACTTGACGAGGTCACACGTGAGTCGTGCACCGAGTTCATTACAACAGACTTCTGAAACTAGCTGGCTGAAAGGCTCAGCCGGCAAGGCCTGTAGAGAGATTGAAAACAGTCCCACTGACTGCAGCAGAATACGAACCTTTGGTAAGTTGCGAAGAAACGACACGCCAAGAAACGCTGAATCCCACACACCTCGTGTCTCCACCCGTTTCACGCCTAACAACCCTGGAACCGCATGGGAGTTTCCGGAATTAGGGGTACCTTATCTTGGTCCTAAAAAGGATCCTGCTGACTAGGGTACTATACTAGGGTCCCCTATTTTCGGATATAGTACCCGAAAAAAAAGGATCCTTATGAAAAGGACCCCCAAATAAGGTACCCCTACTTTTCGGAAACTTCCACATGCCGCCGCGCTGGCGTAGGAGGTGCAAAGGCCGGCATCGTCGAAATCCAGGACTTCGCCTGAGCTAAACTCATCGAACAACAACACCCCTATGCATACTATATTCAATATACTATAGTATTGCAGGCATGTTGACATGGCTGCCTTCCCGCTTGCAGGATGGAGTGGCAGAAGCAGCGGCAGCAGAAGTAGCTTTGGGGTACTAGGTTCCTGAGTAGGTTCTTAATCATAAGGGTTTAGGACGGTTTAGGGTTAGTAGGCCCTTAATGATAATTAAGGCTGCCCTTTTTCGTACTATTTGATTTTAATAAGGGAACCTATGCTATGGATGAGTAGCAATCAGAGCACTCGTCGTCGCCACTTCGGTCAGTCTTGTCGTCGTCATCGCAACTGATACCGTTGCCATCATACTTCTAGTTGTAGTACCAACAGCGTTAACCCTAGCAACATTGTTTACAGCACCAGATGAGAACAGGCAAACACGCTCTATGACCGCGTCAGATTACCCACAAACATCCACACAGCAATTAAACTTTGGGAGGGCCATTGACGGGTGTCCTCTCGTCCTTTTGCTGATCCAACAATAACTTGCTATGCATGGCGCATCAGTTGCTTCCAAACTCACCTCCCTATGAAGAGGTCCGTCAATGTAGATCAGAGGCCCCAGAGCTGACACAGTTAGTCCTGGATATCCATTGGCCAAGAACCAACAAAAAGGCTACACAACATCTCCTTCATCATCTCATGCTTGGGCAGCAAATGGCAAAAGCTTAACAACACAGCGTGTTATGACCGCACCATAAGCATAAACGGTTATAGCCCTTCAAACGATAGGTTTAGGGCTCCGAACCCGGAAGTCAGACTGCAAAGCGTGAAGAGAGATCCTACAGCCTCTAACGCGGGGTGCCGGAGCGGGGCTCGGGCGCAGTCTCTTTCTTGCGATCTTAGTTCTACTAATTCATACTATGTCACACTATACTCTACTATATTCGAGCGTATTATTCTATATTCGGTCTTCGAATAGTGGTGCTTTTGATACCGGCTGCAGAGATCAGAGGCTCCTCCTTAATATTGGGGTTGCATCCACTTCCCGTGAACCGGTGAAAGCAGTGGATCCGGTGGCATGTCGAAAAATGCGTACCAGTCTTTAGAGCGAAGTGTCCTAAACCCTAAACTCCCCTCCCTCCACAAGCAAGCTGCTGCCAGCAGACAGTTTGGCCGGGGGCCCTTTTCAGAACGAAGAGCAATGACACGCTTGCCGCCGGCCCCTTGGCTTGACTTCTGCCCCAAGGGGCCTTAGGGCTTCATATTTTTTCTAAGGCTCTCGCGTGGTTTGTGGCTTGAGGAGTGATAGGGCCTGAAGGCCTAACGGCGTAGGGGCCTTGAGCGTTCATGGTGGGTGTTTCTCTAGATTGGGATGTCTTCTTACACACACTGATCCGGTGAGCTCCACATATGTCATGAAGCTTCCCACTTAGAGAGAGTACCAGGACCCTTTGGGCTTTGCATGGAAAGATGATAGACCAAAGCTCCGAGAATGGGAGTCGTATGTGTAGGGACAGCTCCCAGCCTTCAGTCCGAAGCCTGAATCCCAACTTTCATCAGACCCGACAGCTTACTTCGCGAACCCCAAACTAGGTGAGGCTTTCAAAGCTTTTGAAAAATATTAGTAAATAAGATCCTCTTAAGCCCAATAAGGGAAAATATATAATGTCCCAAAGCCCTACCTAGCAAAGGAAACAACTGTCCAAAAGAATCAAAACAGGCTGAATGACTAAAAGTTGTGTACTGGAGAACAAGCCAAACGCTCGAAGAGTCCTGAAGCACCAATGTGAAATGAAGCATGCAGCCCTGACAGACTTTGAGCTTAATGGCTTCCCTGATACTTCACACCTCCATCTTTCCGTCTGTAGGTAATGGGGGAATGGGTTATGGGTACTATTATTGGGGATTTTATGGGGACTACTATAGGGATCCATGCCCCCATCCCCTACTAAGCGCTCGGGAAGTAACGGGAACTCCAGAAAGTTGGAATATGGTTTCAGGGTAGGATACCTTATAATTTACCATAAAGTTCTTAGGATAATCATATTCCAACTTTCTGGCTTTTACTTTATACGAGAGTTTCGGCCTCTGGGCCAGGGCACGTGCGAAAAGGCGCAGAGAAGTTCTCGGTGCCTCGCAGAGACAGAAGCAAAGCCGACGCAGTCAAACCCGAAGCTATCTAAAGGCCTGTGGCCCTGAGAGCGGCCTAGCGAAGCGTAGCCCAGAGTTTAGGTTCCCGAAATGCACTCCCATGCGACACCTGCCTCTGCTGCTACCCAAGTTTGCTCCCATCCTCGCACGACATCCTCGGAACCTTGCGCTCCAAGAAACTTGGGGTGCGAAAGGGACCAGGATTTCGGTTTGCAGGGCATACGACACAAGACTTGAAACGGTGCAATCGAATATTGCACATCCGTGGTGCAGGACTGCGAACTAATCTGAAAGCTGAAAGCTTAACTATTCGGCTCTGGTGCGTCAGGGTTTCGGGAGAGCTGATCCACGTGTTTCGGCAAGGAAGGGGCGGGGCAGCAAATACAGGTTCCAGCTTTTAGTGCCGCGACGCTGGGTCCATACTGGACTTCGTCGGAAAGGTAAATGAAAGACCTCGGTGCGTCCATAGGTCGAGACGCCAAGCCGAATCCGAAAGATCCGCATTGTGGGGTTTGCCAAATTAGGGTGCAGGCTAGCTACCAACCGGAGTAAGGAAATACTGGTAGAGGTAGCAGCGCGCCACCAGAATTGCTTCGAACCACAAGAGCTCAAGAGAGAAATGCGAGTAATGCATACGGACTGTTCGCGCCCAGAAGCTCGGCAGCGTGAACATTCCTTGGACAGACTCCGCTCGCTTGAAGCTAGTAGCACATGACAAGTCCTACCGGAGAGCCTTGACAAACAGAATGTCCTTGCCGTTTTTGGATTTACGGCTGTTGGGGCTAGCAGAGGACCTACGTGTGTCAGCAATCTGCTGCATATTGATGGTCTTGCAACTGGCGACACATGATCCTTCGAGCGCGAAAGAATCACGCGAACGCTGCTGCTTGCATTAGTGCAAGCATCAATCGCGGTCTGATCTTTCTAGTTGGATTAGGGTTGAACGGCAGTATACAGTAAATGTATAAATGTACATATATATATATGTGTGTGTGTCATATAGAACCTATCAGGGGACCGCAGGAGACATCATTGGTAACTGCGCAAACCTTCACAATGTGTGCAACGTTCGGGTGGAGGGCTTGGCACGCAAGTAGGTACCCAGACCCCTTTGGAGGATCTAGAAAGTAGATTTGGGGCCCTTTACTACTAAGGGTACTTTATAGGAACCACCATCACGGGATCTACTTTTGGGATCCTTACGGGGTCTGGGTAAAGAGCCCTCAACACCAAGCACCAAGATCCTAAACTCGGCTGGATGTTGCGAAGCCAAAGTTTGCAACTTGCTTACGCCCCAAACCTATCACCAAGAAGAAAAAATGGACGGGCGTCTGCATAGCTTCGGGGTCATGCTGGTTCCAGCAGTCGAAGTATCCTCAGACATGCGTGGTGGCACAAGTTGAAGGTTCATGCTGTGGAACGTTTTCTCGCGTCTCTGGCTATGACAGGGGCTTTTTGAGAAGTCCTTGTGTACTTGGAGGCGAAAAGGAAAGCTGGACTTCAAATGACAGAGTCTACGTATTTTGTGGAGCTTCAAAACCCACAACTAAGGAATATGCCGTACATTCTGGTAAAATCCCTAATACGATACATTCCTTCATTAAGGAATATATTGGAAGGCCTGGGTTCAGCTGTCACCAGACATTTTTTTGCGATTCGCAGGTTCGGGAGTTAGAAGAGTGAGGTTCAAGGCTTCGTTCCAAGCACAACTTTGGGGTTTTGAAGGCTCTGTTCAGCTATGTATTTCCAGGGGCAATTGGGCTTATGCACAGGTTTATCAGCTTTACAGCTTTCTGGCTTGTACAACTTTAAGAAAGTGTATATCATATGGTTCGCAGCACAAGTAGCTCGCAACCCAGCCAGCAAGCTCGGGCGATGCTGCCTCGTCCAGCAGTGAATACCTGGTTGGATTTCTGGCTTCCTGCTAGGGATTTAATCTAAGTTGCCATCATAAGGAAACCATCTTATTTACTATAGACCCCTATAATAGTATGATAGATCCCTATAATAGTATGGCAACTTAAACTAAACTCCTTAACAAGAACCCAGATGTCTTTTGGGGGGAGCTCTCAGTTCACGGTCTTTCGGGCCTGGCGGTGTTTGGCTGCTTCATTTTGGGTTCCTGTCATAGGGACTCAAAAAAGCATATCCCATATAAACCCCCTTATAATGAAGCCCAAGAAGGTAGGGATATCCCTATAACATGCTTATGCTTATGTGCCTTTTGGGTTCCTAATATCAGGGGGCAGAGGAACATCCCGCTGAAGCTCTTTATAGGGTTCATGGTTGGGGGCTGGGATCAAAGCGGTTAAGAGTTTAGGATTTCAGGGTCCAGGGTGTTTTTTTGGGCTGCTTCTAACTTTCAGAGTCTCAAGGCGCTAGAGCTGAATCTGACATCGCATCTATATAAGAGCTGCAGGTTAGACGGTTAGACCTGCTGAACGAATGGTAACCCGAACCATTCACCCCTAAACCCTAAACCCTTTATAGAACCCCTATAGATCCCTTTAAGGAGCCCTTATGGTAACCTTAAAAGGAACCCTTTAAAGGAACCTAAGCCCTTGACGCTCAACTCCTAAGGCTCGAAGTCATAAACGTTTCAACCCCTAAACCCTGACCGGAGCTGTAGTAAGGCAGGGTTGAGTCCCCCAAGGCCTTGGGGAGGAGCTCTAGAACGTGGATCCCTGGAGTGGCTTACCATGAAGTGTCGTCCAGTTTCTGGTTCCTTGCAGGGTTGTTGCCTAACATAGCTTGGGGCCTTAGTAATTAGAATAGGGGCTTTAAGGGCCTAGTTTACTATTAATTATAATGAGCAACCCTCAAAATAGTAACTTAGGAATTATTAAGGCCCCTTGAGTAAGTTGACCCGACCTTGTTCGGACAGCTCCGCTCAGTGTTTAAGCTTTGAGGTTTGGGACCTTTGGTTTTCAGCTTGAAGAAGGATGCTTGAACATGCAGAGGGCGTAAGGGTACTTCTGAGGGTTATGTTATCACACCCATGTCAACCCTCATCAACATCTACGAAACTTGCATAGAACCCCTCAAATTTCTGCTGTGGAGAGCCCTGGTAGACCCTGAATATAGGGGCCTAAACTCCCATGATACCCCTCATATTAATCCTTATAAGCCCCTTTACAAGGAACCCGTCAAGGAACCCGATTAGTATAGGTACTTATGAAGGCCCCCCAATCGTAGGCCCATCTCTGGCTGCAACCCAGGGTCTCAGAAACTGCAACAACGCCGCCATCTGGATCAAACTCCTTTCATTGGGGCTTGCAGGGAGTGCACAGGGTTCTAGTCTACCCATAGGCCCCATAGTAGCTCCTTTTTGGGGTTCATATGCAGAATCCAATAATTAAGGTAATCCAAAAAGGAACTACTATGGAGCCTATGGGTAGAGTGCGGACTCTTTAAGGCTTGGAGCTGCAATATTTTCCCAATTTTGTTAGCGGCAGAACCCATCGCTGTATAACTTAAGGTATGCCGCTCCAACTATGGATTTTGGATTCACCGGGTTATTGGATGGTTTGCGAGAAAAGGGGCTTTAGCGGCCTAGGCCCGTGGTAACTCCTTGCTTAAAACAGCGTTGAAGCCCGAGCCCCGTCAAGAAAAACACGTGGCATCTTTTTCGGCCGAAAGTCTGGGAGCATTGTGGAGCGGTTGGGAACAAGGAGCTGTGCAGCGTAAAAGGCTTCTGAGAATGAGGGTTTGAGGTCGGTTTAAAGTAGGCCCCTGACAGTGAGGATCCCGAACCGAACATGGTTCAAGCTCCAAGGCACGGATGAACCTTGCCTGTATCCTCTACCTGAACTCCACACCCTGGAGCGTATTCCCGAAAATCACAGGCAGCCCGTCCAGCTCAAAGCAGCAGGGCGAGTGAAGCACTTCGCCAGGGGAGTCGAGCGCCGGGTCTTCGGCAGGGGGCGCCGGAAGAGCCTCGATCTCTGGGTCTTTCTGTTCTGAAGGCGGGCAATTTAACGGAGTTCCGCACGAATTGTGGGTCCCAGGTAGCTTCTCTGTTACAGAGAAATGGAATGAAACACGTGCAAGGAAGTCGAATAGTTTCAGCAGGGTCTGGCAATGAGGTTACAAAGTTACACACTGTTGCACAGAGGCGTAAGAAATTCAAACTCAGAGGGTTGTTTTTGACTGCGACCGCTTTGAAACCTCTCAACCTCGTCGGGTCCAGCATCACCCGATCTCTCCCATCCCCAAGCCAACCCGAATCCCGAGTGCAGTTGCATGAATGATTGGTACGAGGGTGCACTATGATAATGCAGTAGAATGGCACAACCCCAAGACCGTCTCACATTTCTTAGGTACTGTCCTTGTTGTATCAATCCAAATGCTTCAGCTCTCCTCTTCAGCACGACACAGTCCTGCCGACACTTTTCGTTCTATTGGGGGTGCTTTCATCGAGAGGTTCTGCCCATAAACCCGATGCAAAAGTCCTCTAAATGCCTCATAACTCATGCTCTGTAGACTCTGAGCGTGAATCGTATTGGGAGCATTGGGGCTGTAATGCTCCAGCAAAACCTTTAGGGCCCACTCTCCTAAGTCGGCGAGCCACGGAATCGACCAAGGTGAAACAGATGTTGCCCTTCGCGGAGACGAAGACTTCCTCGGCAGCCAAAACGCTGCGTTGCCTGGGCGAAGGAACGGTTGGAAGTCCTTCTGAACTCGGGCTTCTGATAGAACCTTGTTCGGAATCCTGTCTCCATTGCTAAACTCAGACTACACAGGCTGTCCAGCAACCCACTGCAAAAATGGACATGACTCCTGGGATCTTCAAACAGGAGTCTGTAGAAACAACCATGATAAGTAAGCCACTGAACGGCCTCGAGGAAGCCTCAACCCCAAGCCCACCTGTATCCCCAACCCCAAACCCAACCTGAGACCTGTCAGTTACTAATCCACTATTTGCTTAAGAAACCCACAAAAAATAAAAAATAATAATCCCTATATTACACCCATAAGGAATATATATATATATACATATTTTGTTTTATTTTTATTTTTTAGTTTTTGGGGGTTCTTAAGCAAATAGTAGTAACTAACTGCCCTCCAAGCCCGAACATAGCTTCAGACTCCTAGTCGGGTTTTGAGCTTGTCTCAGAGTCTTCGAAACATTTACATGGGAGCTTCCGAAAATAGGGGACCCTACTTTTGTAGCCTGAATAGTAGGATCCTTATTAAAAGGACCCCCCAAATAAGGTACCCCCTATTTTCGGAAACTCCCACATAGGGACTAAACGTGAACCGTCCAGCTCGAACTCGGACCGAGATCCGGGCCCAGCATCCCAGCGCGTCTGCAGTGCTTCCCCTCAGACAAACGCACGGAAGAACGGGCAAGCGACACCCAGGTTGTTTTGCGGTGAAGGGGCTCAGCGTGTCAGTCCCTGAGGGTTGGGATTCGGATTCTACTATCTTCTAACTCTAGGCAACACGGAAGAAGCGGCTACAAGCTTCGAAGCCCTCACACATCGTGGAATTCCGAATCTTTGCTCTCCTTGCTTTTGGAGATCCTGGACCTGAGCCAGTGTAGGGCTGGATCGAGCTCAAAGTCCTAGATCTGATGGACGCTTGCGCCAATAATGTTGTTGCTTATCCTAAAGGTAAAGTTCTTCTTTAAAAATCAGAATAACAATAATAATAACATAATAATAGTAGTAGGAACAGTAGTAGTAGTAGTAGTAGTAGTAGTAGTAGTAGTAGTAGTAGTAGTAGTAGTAGTAGTAGTAGTAGTAGTAGTAGTCGTAGTAGTAGAAGCAGTAGTAGTAGAAGAAGAAGAAGTAGAAAGAAGTGATTACTGAAAGGAGCCGTGGGAGATCTGAGAGCTGGCTGCCGAGTGACGGAAAACGCCCGGCTCGGTCTGTGCAATCTCTGTGCCATCTGAGAAACCTGGCATGCAAGCACATGGGAAGCAGGAAGCACTAAACCAAGCCTCAGCCCCAAATGAGCCATGCTGGGGGGATTTGACGGGAAAGTATGAACATTCCAGGCGCGAGAATATAGGCCATGGGGTTTGCAGGGTTAAAAGCTTTGATGATTGAGACTAAGCGGTTGGTCTGGGGTTGGAGAATCCTGGGATCGACTCCACACCTCTCGTCACCTAGGTAAGGCCTTCAAGCACCACGGCTTAACCCGAAAACCCTACAAGGTTAACCGTCGATCCTGAAGCCCGAAATACCAAGAGAACAACACATCCTACCCTGGACCTCCAAGCGTAAGGGGCTGCCGATGAAGGCATGAAAAATCGCAAGGGGAAACTTCTACAAACCGAAACAAAATCACCTAAAGAACGTCCGGCTGACACCCCATGAGTTCCCGGGCGTGCAAGTGAGGAGTTTTAGCGGTTTTAGCGCACGCAAGGGCTGAAGGCTGTCAGGCTTTAGACTCTACCTCCAAAGCTACGGCTCTCTTCAAGGGCGGCGGAGGCACAAAGCGTGGAGCCCGGTGCATGCAGCGCCTCCGACAGAGGGGATCTGGAGCGGAACTCTGCGAATTCGTCTGAGGCATCACGCTGAAAGAGGAGAAGGCTACGAATTAAACATCATGGGTTTCGAGTGTTAAGCGGAATACCATGAGAATGCTGCTACTGCTGCTGCTGCTGCTGCTAATGACAGTTGTCTGTAGCATCAGTAACACAATGATGGCAGGAATGTTGGTATTCCTCATGAGAGGCTTCTGGGGAACAGAGAGCGGGATATGGCCTGAGGGCATTTGACATTAGTTGGGGTTTCGGGGTCTTGCTGAGTCTAGGAGTCCTCTGAACGACTGCCCTGAGTGAAGGAGGGCAGCGCCGACAGCTCTCAAAGTTGACTCCTTTCAGAGGGTTTCAGCATGTTTCATCTAAGGTTTCCAGACCCATTGTAAATACTTTCAAAATCCCTGGAAGAATAAGGTCGAGCCCATGACCATAGGCCTGCCATCTGGAGCCGGGCTGATTCAAAACGCATTTCTCCACCCTGAAGGCTATCTGCTGGGCTAGACCGCAAACCGCGACATGAAAGTGAGACACTTGAAACCCGAAAATTTGACATGTCCAGACTTCTCTTCTACCTAGAAGTCTGAAGAGCAGCAGACCGGCGGAACCCTCTGTTCTCTAGCTCTTGCTGGGGCGTAGTGCAAGTAGAAAACGTGAGGAAGGAAGAGGCGGACTCCACCAACGGCATCAACACAGCCGCAATTGCATTTATTCTGTCGTTGCCAACTGCACGTGCACGTGTCTTTGCTGTTTCTAATCTTGATGTTGTCAGTCTCCCCTGCTACTGTCACCGATACTGCTGTTAAGGTAGGCAAAGGGCTGCGGTTGTAGTGGCTATTGACTGAGGGATCAGGTTCAGCCTCCTTTTCTCCCTGTGAGTTCTTGAGGAGAGAATCCACTGAGGTTGTCATCCGAGATTTTGCAATGCCCACCGCCCGGCTAGTCACAGCGACAACAAGAACAAGAAGGACAAATACTAGCCCCACCACGATAAAATGTTCACGAGTCGTGGTAGTGCTGTTGGCAACGAGAGCAACAAGAGTGGTAACAATACTACTGCCATGATAATTGTAGGGAGTCGTCACATCAGCTGCATGTTACGGGCGAGCCTCCACTTCCGTCACTGAGTGGTTCCAGGCTTGAAAGTACGCCTGCTGCACAAATTCGAAGTTCGGCAGAATATGAATGTCACGGCAGCGTAGTGGGTTGTTCTGGGCAAGGGATCACTGTTGGGGGTCTCTGGACTTTGTATATCTTCGGGAACTGGTATGAAGAACATTTACAAGTGGTCAGGTCCGCGAAATTCAAGAAAGTCTCGAGGAGGGCTCCGCCGTCTCAGGATTTCTCCTCCGGTCCTTTCTGGGAGCGGAGTCCGCTTAGATGGTACCTTCATGTTTTTGACAGGGTTCCATGGTTTGAGTTGTGATGGAGGGCCCCCCTGGGCCTCAATGTGCGCGTTACCAGAGGCTTTTAGTGCGGACTCAAGCTCTCCCCCTGAAGTGCCCTAAAATCTGGACCGCCCCTGCTCTGTCGCTATTTAAGCAGTGTAAACTCGCATCGGCCTCGCTGACATGCTCAGAAAAGCTAGCTAGTAGTGGTCTTGCAAAACCCTGTAAACGCCGTGCTCGAAGCACCCTGTGACCCGAACCTTGCTTCGATTGGGCAGCGTGAGAGCCATGGCTATGTCAAGCAGCCTGGAACTCCTTTGACGTCTGGTGTCTAAGGCTTGCAGACTTAGGGTGTAATTTGGGGTTGGGGGGGTTGTTCGGGTTTCGAACTTCACTGTCGCTTAGACGTCATGGTCACGGGGGACTGCGGGATTTGTGGGTTAAGCCTGATACAGAACCTTAGATACGGGGCTCTGGTGTTTCTAACCCGATTCCCTTAAAGCCAGAATTCCGTGCATACGGGAGGTACCCCCGAGCAATGAATCATCAACCCTAGATCATGCCTGTGCTTCGCAGATTTGAAGCACTCAGGCTAGAAAGGTGACTTGAAGATTCTGATAGTGGCTTCCCCAAACCCGTGAATCGCAAACCCTTAAACCCTGAACTTCGCAACCCGAAACCCCCCAAAAAGAGCCCAGACGAGGGAAGTCGAAACCTGCAACTCCCCTTCAAAGGATCCTCGAAGGACTGTTAACATTGCCGAATGGGTCTACAGGAGCTAGGGCCTTGCTTCTTCCCCCCCCTTATGGACCAAATCTAAAACGCCTTGCGGTTTCATACGCGGAGCAGAAAAGTGCTCTTCACTGTCGCTTAGCGGCGGCCATTAGGGTGTCCATTTCTCCAAAACTTACGTATCTGGTGATGCAGATTCCGCGCGCCCACATTCCAAGACCCCAAGCCTTCAACTGCAAGTGCAGGCTCTTTGACTCTTTGTTTGTGCCAGGTCCAAATGGAAGCACTCAGAAAGGGCCCCAAGGAGGATGAGTTTAAGAGCAAGCTCAGCAGGAAGCGCTCTCCTAGTTCTGCTGACGACTTCTGTACGTCAGTGGCTGCCGCTTATGACAACAAAGCCTGTGCGACTGCACATGCCATTGCGAAAGCTTGACAAGCATGGCAACCGGTGCCATGACTCTCAGAGTGACCCTGCCAGGGGGGGGGTGGTACAACGCCCCAGGCCCAAAATGGGCCAATCTGGACTCCGAAGATGCTATTTGCTTTTAGCGATGGGTAGGGAGGATGGTGGAGGGGCTACCATGAGGTGTTGCGGTTGCATGATACGACCATACTGTCCACCACGAGCCGAAACTGTAACGGAGCTTGTTCTTTCAAGGGATACTTTCAGTAGGGTCCTGTGAGAACAGCTAGACCCAAGAGTAACCTAGGAATAAAGACGGTGCCCGTTTTGGTCCAACTGGGTGTTAAGGGAACCTAAACCCCCAAAAGGGAATAAGGGCCTACTCGGGGTCCTGGACAGGGACGCTTCGCAACACCCTGAGTGAGGATGCGAATGTAGGGGCCTTAATAATTAGAACAGCCTCTTGTGGTATATTGTCCTATAATAATAATAAGGATCCCCAAAATGCTACTCGAATTATTAAGGCCCCTACATGACAGCCTACGACCCTCGACTCCTCACTCTCCCTATCCCTCACCTCCCCGAACAGAAAATGAGTCACGTGGTTCAACCCCGATGCTTTTGACGAGCTTGACGCCAGATCCATGTCGGCACAAGTGAAACAGGGTGGTTGTCATTGCATCTGTCGGATGGACCGAAGAATACCAGGGTGTAGCTGTTTATGGCTTTCAGGGCTTTAAGACTCGCTTTTGATTGTGTATTGCTCGCAACAGGTTTTACAGAAAGTCATGCAGTGAAGGCGTTTCTAGGCTACGACATGACAACCGTCCAGCCTCGGCATTGACGTTGACGTGAGTTTAGATGTATCTGAGGCTTCATTAAACCCACAACAAACCCCGTGAATCTCATACTTGCCAAGGAGAGGTAGCAAGAGTGATGTTGGTCGTCGCTCTGCGTCTGCAACAGACCCCTGATGGCAGAAGCATCGGCATCAGAACTTGCTTGTACCCGCACCAGCACCACTGTCCCCTAACAGTAGAAACGCGGCAACAAATGCCAGTCGGCAGAAAATGCTGCGACCAAACACCACAACCATCATAAAAGTCATCGCCATCATCTTCAGCATCATCACTTCATTTTCATCATTACAACCATAATCTCTGAATACCATCAGCTGATCACCATCTTCATAGTCCCCGTCATCGTCATCATCAGCATCATCCCTCTACTCACTTTGCTTTAAGGCCTCGCTAAGCAAGGTAAGATACTATAGAGGCTACTTTTCGTGACCCCTGTGTTCGGCCATCCCGCACAGATGCCCGGAACTTCGGAAGATCTGTGAAATAGGGTTCGCCCAGGGTTTAGGGCTTAGAGGTTTAGGGCTTCTTCGCGTAGGGTTTAAGGCTGGACCTCTGACCCCATTTTACTCTAGATCGCAGCACGCCATGTTGGCTCGTTGCGCGAATCCGTGCCAGCTCGCCAAGTCATGCTGATAGACCCCTGTATCACCCTTCTACATGTAGATGAGACAACAGATAGTTTCGACAGAGACATACTCAGAACGAAGAAGAATCGATTCCCCCGAAAGTACCTAATCCTCGCTGGTCAGAAGAAGATCCGAAATCCCCAAGGTAAGCGCACAAACAACACGAGACAGCTGTACATACCAACGTGGCCGGATACCTTCCCGTCTAGGAATTTGCAAACCCCACTTCATGTGGCATCTTCGGACGGCTGCTTAAAGTGGTGCTTCCCCTCGCATGTTTCCGGTGCGTGGTTTTAGTCAAAGCAGCTATCGACTCAGAGCAAGCCGTTTAGGAAATTGAAATTGAGCGAACAATGATGCCGTATGTTATAGATACATGAAAATAATTAAATACTACAATCAACGAACATATATATATATATATATATGCATAATCATGGCATTATTATTATTATTAACGTTTCTCGCTTGCGTCTATCCCTAGACCTTGCTCTCTCTATATCCATGTCTGCATATGCATGTGTATATATAAACAAATACATGTATCTATATAAGCACAAATGCCAGAGACACATGCATGCCTATATCCAAAGGCATCATATATGAACAAGCATCTACAGCTATATGCATATGTACCATATGTACATACATGAGCACATATAATATAATATCACATATATACACGAAGAGGGATCGCTGCAGTGGCCCAGCTGTAAACTTCAAATCCGAGGAATTCGTGAAGACCATGGCATCTAGGTTTTCCGGCCAGTGCTGGTAAAGACCTCAACGGTCAGGCACCTGAGGCGAACGTTCAATATTTCATACGAGACTCTCCATGGGGGCATGTGCATGCGAGTCGGATGGTGCCTGGGGCTGCAGTTTGGTTTCTGGTCGGAGGCTTCCGGCTCGGATAGGTCATGGCTTATGCAATCCTCCGTGTCCAGGCTACCAAAAACCCGCTGAAATTTCCAGCGTTCCTTCATACGGCTCCTGGTCCTAGCCCTCGCTATGCACGCTGATGCCAGGTTAGTGAACATGTTGTCTTGGGGAACTTCTGGCGTCTCTCTTACCTTGGGTTAGTAGGGAATGGAGGAATGGGCTACAATTACAACTACTATTTCTACCATTCTTCCATTCCCTACTAACCAAAGGCAAGCTCTGGCCAGGGGAAGCGCTCCTGCAGCCACCGAAGCGGAAACCAAAAACTTCAGGAGCTCTTTCTCGAAGCACTACGCCCGCCCACTCATTTAGGGCCTTAAGAACTAGGGTGGTGTGGGCTTTCTTGTAATAAATCTGAGAAGGGCTTTTAAGGAGCTTCTTTCAAGGAATTCTCTTCGGCTGGGCTTTTAAAACAAAGCCTGATGTCTGCCCGTTTGTCTGCAGGCAATTACTGTATGTAAACGACATAGGTACATGTGAAAGAAAACATGCAGAGGCGTCGCAAGGCAGAAAAAGCACTGCCGCTCAGAGTTGTAACGAAGCGCGTCTTCAAGGGCTGCTACCTGAAGCGGGCGCGCGAACGGCAAGTTTGGGTGTTTGAGGGTTATCGCAGTTCATGCACACCCTCTCAGGTCCAGCACAACAGGACCTTAAACCTAAAACCACGAAACAATCATCATCCTTGATCTCCTGAGCATGCCCAGAGCCCATTCCAACAAAAACCTTCAACCTTGAAGCCATTACGATTTGAAGCACTCCTCTTGCCCCTGCATCTACAGGCTAGCCACAGCTCTAATCTAGGGGTCAGTGTTATCCCGCGTAGTCTTGATTATCATACGTGCAATGCCTGAAAACCAATTATTCTCAAGATGGCTGCTTTCTCATCGAACCCTCATAGAACCCTTGTGGTGACCTTGACACGACCTTCTCTAAGGAAACCCGCTACAAGAACTCCATCCAACACTTGAGGCCAATCTTGCACCCCCTACCCGTCCAGCCGGGTCACAGCCCGTCTGCCCCTGGAGGGCCATACAGCTCCGGATCCAGGTCCTGATGTTCATTTCTTGGGGCTGAGAGCTTCGGGTTTTGGGCCAGTTTTGGGAGTTGGCATGCAGGGTTTTGGGGCTGACGGAACTGTTTTTTAGGGTTTGTGGGGCTTGCTTGCGGCTAACTTGCAGTTTGATGCTTCCAACCGACGCCGAATGCTACATCTTGCGCCGTAGACAGCTAGGCCAATCTCAACACGGTTCTTGTTCAGGAGTTTAGATACATCCTACTTTCTACATCCCTTGTGTAGCGAAGCCATCGAGTTCCATAAGGGATCGTAAGTAGTGCCATGTATGACCAGTGCATCAAGTCGACACAGCCCTCCCAAACCTGCCTCATCACTGCTGTCATCGAGCTCATCGGACGAGCCTGTATGCACTGGAGGCTTACCTTTGGTTAGTAGGGAACGGAGGAATGGGGTACAGTTATAGCTACTATTACTACCATTCTTCCATTCCCTACCAACCAAAGGTAAGGAGAGGAGCGGGTTGTGCACCAACCGCGAAGAAACACCTACTTGAGTATCCCGAGCAGTGCCGCAATTACTCCAACGGCCCCCGGAAAAAAAGCTTTGTGTGCTTCTGAATTAAGGCACCTTTTTCTAGGCTTTTGAAGGTCATGAGATTCCAATGGGTTCCATGGGAGGGTGGTTTTCGAGCAGAAGATGGTGTGCTAAAAAAAAA